TGATTCTGATAATTATTCGAGTATATGTTTTAGAATCTTGTGTTTTATTAAGTAGAATTCTTAGGCTATAGTAGGCTTTGATTTTTATGCTAAAGTGACTTGTGATCTTTGCAATCAATTTCTTTTTTTTATATCTTAATATATATATATGTGTATAATGAATAAGATAATAGATAAATAGATAAATAAACGATTACTTTATTCGGTATTTTTAGGTGTAGATATAAGTAAACCCCAATGTTCTTGTAATGCTTGTAAGAATCGGGAAATTTGGTTGAAGTCACAGAAAAAGGCTTCAACTACTGATCGCATCAATATGACGTATGTATTTTGATATTTAGCAAAAGGTGATTTATATTCAAATTTAATTATATTATTATTTTCAGCGCTATTGGCGTAATTATTGGTTGGATCTTCTTTTTCTATCTGGCTTATAAAATTGCAACAATAAAAGTTGTTGTTGAATTATGGGATCCATATGAAGTAATGGGAGTTAGAGAGGTATTAATATAATTCTAGTAAAATTACCTTTTTAATTATCAGTTATACCTCTAACCCTGTTGTCCTGAAAGGGTACTTCGTTGGAAGTCATAAAAAAAACCTTTAAGGAATTAAGTAGAAAATGGTGAGTTATATCATACAATTACTATAACATGTATTCCAAAGATATTTGATATTATTCTTGGAATGTTTTAATGTATTTTCATTTCAATTAATATATGTTTATATTGCGTTATCATAAAGGCATCCCGATAAAGCTCCCTTAGATAAAAAGATTGAATTCGAAGCGAAATTTATCGACATATCCAAGGCTTATAAAGTGTTAACTGATGAAGATATTCGTAGAAATTTTGAAGAATGGGGCCATCCAGATGGAAAGCAAGGTCCGTATTATAATTGTCTACTCTTTTTTTTTATACTCATAATTGGTCATTGATAATAAATATTTTATTTAAAATGAATTATTTTAGCTTATTCCTTGGGTATTGCTCTTCCTAATTGGTTGGTTGAAGCAAGAAACAGTCCAATTGTACTTGGCATCTATGCTGTTGTCTTTGGATTGTTACTCCCTTTTACTCTTTTCATATTTTTCACCAAAACGTTTATCCAACTCATCTCTTATTGAAGTAATAACAGGAGATAATCGTGCATTATCTGTAGGACGCTGCTCCACCAACTCTTTAAATTCAATACAGACAGATAACAGATCTAAGATAAGTTTAACCTT